AAACTAGTGGGACTGCAGACTTTTAGTTTCTTGTGTCTGCTGGTAATTTTATTTAGATTTTTCACTAAACCACTGTGTGGCTTCTCATTGTTTGGCTATAGTGCAATTACATTTTGGGTCGTTTCGACCGTCGGTAGGGTTCTTCGATGTTACTGGGGGTGCTCCTTAACGTTGGATACCAGGTTCATCTCTTCTGAGCTGTATTGCCCCTGTATTGTTCGCCTGTTGTCTGCCCATTTTGCCGCCTCTTCGAGGATTATTTAAATAATTTTTTTTTTCGCGGTTACTACTCAATATCTAGCGATTATTGGAAAGGCATATATCGTTTTTGCCTTCTGGTCGAAATACGAGTTTGAAGTCGAAATCGTCGGGTAATCTGCCAATGTAAGTGAGGCGAAGCTAACAACATCTTAACTTTAACTAGCAGTTGCTCGTTAAAGTGTTGTTAGCTTTTGGTACTGTATACAGAAGTGTCGATGAGTCCAAGAAACCAGTGTGGGTGCTGGTCTGAGCCAGTGACAGAAAAATTTATTGAATGACGCAAAAACAACGGGAAGAATGGGTAATCGCAAAATCATCAGTACTTGTATGAGAAGGTCGGTTGTAGAGAAGACACTCAGATGACATACGGTACTCGACGATACACGCGAATTCCGATTTGTCGGGTCACCCGCCTTATATATCGAAGTTCTTGTAATAGATATCATACATCACAATCTCCAAAACGGGATTCATCCAGGATTGCAAGATAGATCCCATGGGACCAGGAATGGATTTTACTGTTGTAGATCCAATCTACGATGGGAAAGTCGCATTCCGATGCTTAGCTGGGAATTCATCGAAGGATGACTGAGCTTTTGAAATGTTTTTTTTATATTTTTGTAGTTTTGACTGGACAAGCATGGGGCTTTGCCTTTTCAAGTGAGACACAGCTGCTTGTTAAATACAACCATGGCAAAGCGTTGTAGTGGGTTCTCTTCTACCGTTTTCGCTATCGAAAATGTGGAGGATTATTTGGCTGAATAAGTTTAATCCAGTTTTCATATGTGTGATCATTTGAAGCCAAAGTGTATTTTTCAGTGTGATGAAGTAGGGCGTTGGGTGTTGTCGGTGACTGGGAGCGAGGACTGTGCGAATACCTTTCGGAATCAAGATATTGATGGACAGTCATTGCTTCTGCTGGTCGACAATGCACATCACAATTTGGTAACATTACTTGGTTTGAAACTTGGCCCGGTTGTGAAAATTATGAGCGCACTGAAGGAACTTTCTGCCAAGAGCATCAATGCTTCATAATCTCGCTGGGAATATGTGTTCATCGAATCACTTAAGTTTTTTTGTTGTTTTGAAGGTTTGTTATATGGCTGCCTAGGCATGGACTGAATTTTGTACTGTACGATTTTGGCCATTTTACTATGCTTCGTCGGTGATCCCAAACGAACGTGGAAGACAGTTTTGGCGGAAAAAATGCAAATTTTTGGGAATGTTTGCTTTCAAAATACTTAGAATTTTCGAAGCCGCAAGG